TTTATAATTTTTATACGTTAAAAGCGCCGCCGCAGGTACTGAGGGGTTGGGGGGGGGGGGGGGGGGGCATTCTATAATAAATTATATATAAAGCATATAATTTCTATTATGATTGTCTCAACTGTCATTGTCAATCATCTTGTCAGCGAATAATAATGTATATGTTGGATGTCTTTTTGTCTGATCTTGTGTGACAGTCTGATGAGGAGGAATTAAACTTTAGGTTGTTACAATGCCTGTGGTTGCACAGTAAGATATAGCATTATTCTGCTGTTTGGAAATTTCCAGCCTGTCTATAAAAATAGTTTTCTCTGACATGAGGTTATGGTACAGCCTAAATGTAGGGAGAAAATCCCAATATAATTACACTCTTTAAAACAACATCATTATAAGCTATGGTTCAGCGCTTCCCTTTATAGGGATTTAAAAAAATGAAGGTGGGTTCTGACCGGTTTTAACTTGCGGTCTCACCCTCTTTCACTTTCTTTCAGTTACACACAATAAGTGATCCAGACAGCGTCTGTGGATGAAATGGTTACAGCTTTCCTCAATGAAAGGCAAGCCACTACTGAGAAGATGGCTTTAGTAAGCAATGCACTGGCTGCTTACTCCTTCATAGCAGGTAAAAACAGCATTGGTACGCTACTATTACACTAACAGCCCCAAAACTACACCCTTTACTAAAGCTGGGCAATTAATTGAATTTTATTTTCAAGCACAATTTTGTCTTCCAACAGTTATGCACAAAAGATAATCTTGTGAATCATCGTAAGATAACTGTGCCACATTCCTTTTTGCTATAATGGTTCCGTTTTGTCTTGTGTTATGTATCCACTCCACTTTTTTCCTTTATATTGGCACACATTTTTTTCCCTTCCTTGCTTTATATGGCAACATTTATTTTTAGATATATTTGTATAGATTTTTTATTATATTTAAAGTACAAGAAAATCAACTGTTAAGAAGGAAAAATAAGTTCAATTACACTAAAATATGCTGGGTTAAATACAACCTAATGCTGGGTAAAACAAGGACAAACCCAGCAATTGGGTTGTTTTGACCCAGCGGTTGGGTTAAATGTTTAACCCATTTAACCCAACCTTCTGGGTAGTAACCCAACCGCTGGGTCAAAACAGCCCAATTGCTGGGTTTGTCCCTATTTTACCCAGCACTGAGTTGTATTTAACCCAGCATTTTTTAGAGTGTACTGTCTGAAATCGATTTCAGTGAGTAATGGTGTTAAATAATCGATGATCTCAATATTGAGTAAAATAATCATAATCTTTGCCAGTATCGAGCAGCTTTACTGTACACATTTTTCCCCTCCTTGCTTTATATGGCAAAAAAATATTTTAGATATATTTTTATATAATATTTTATGTTTGTTTTTTTATATAAAATCTAATCCTTTTATTTATTTTTTACATTTATTTAGTAGTTTTTACTGAAAACTACAAATCATTAATTAAATATATAAAATTTAAAAACTAATTACAAAATAAGTACGTCAAGCTTTTGATGTAATGTATTTTAATGTATTATTTTTTTATAATATATATATATATATATATATATATACTTACTTTCTACTTTTTTTCTCTCAAATTTTTAATAGTTTTGTTTGTTTTTTAATAATTTAATGTACAAGAAAATCGTCTCGGTTACGTATGTAACCCTCGTTCCCTGAAGGTACTTTCTACTTTTTTTTCTCTCAAATTTTTAATAGTTTTGTTTGTTTTTTAATAATTTAATGTACAAGAAAATCCACTGTTAAGATGGAAAAAAAAGTTTAATAACTGTCTGAAATCAGTGTCAGTGAGTAATGGTGTTAAATAATCATAATCTCAATATTAAGCAAAAAATAATAATTTTTTGCCAGAATCGAGCAGCTTTACTGCACATGCTTCTACACTTTGGTAAAACTTTGTGTGTTGTGTGTGTGTGTTGTTTGTTTGTGTGTGTGTGTGTGTGTGTGTGTGTGTGTGTGTGTGTGTGCACTTGGTTATGCTACATTGTGGGGACCAAATGTCCCCACAAGGATAGTAAAACCTGAAATTTTTGACATTGTGGGGACCAGCCTGTGGAAAAAAATTATAAAAAATAGTAAATTATGTTTATCTGAAAGTATAACAATGCAAACAGTTTTTCTGTAAGGGGTAGGTTTAGGGTTAGGGGATAGAAAATATAGTTTGCTCAGAATAAAACAGTAGTCTATGGAAAGTCCCCACAATTCACAGAAACAAAAGCGTGTGACACACACACACACACACAGGTTTACATTTGTGAAAAGTGGGGACATCCCATAGGCGTAATGGTTTTTATACTGTACAGACTGTATATTCTATTGCCCTACACCAACCCTACACCTAAACCTACCCCTTACAGGAAACTTTGTGCTATTTCAGATTTTCAATACACTCCATTCTGTGTGATTTATAAGCGTTTTGAAAAAATTCTATTATGATTATGACATGGGGTAATGTCCAGAAAAGTCACCTTCTCCTTGTAATACCTATGCCATACCTTTGTCATTATACAAATGTATGTCCTCATTTGACACAAAAACGCGCGTGCGCGCACACACACACATTCTTCATTTAGAAATCAAAAACATTTTTGCCCAATGCAAACTGTTACTGACCTGAACTGTTTCTGCAGATCACCCGGAACGGGCGGCACTGTATTTTGTGTGTGGAGTGTGTTTGGGACTGGTTCTCACTCTCATCGCATTAGTGGTGCAGATCTCCTGTCGAACCGACTGCAAAACGCAACAAGCGCCCAAGAAAACAGGAAAGACTTTGGAAAGCACCAGTGACACGAGCGACAGCGATTCGGACTGGGACAATACCTCTGACCTGTCGGCACGCCGCCACCGGCGCTTCGAACGGACGCTCGGTAACGTGTTTACCTCCGCCGAAGAGCTGGAGCGCGTGCAGCGACTGGAGGAACGCGAGCGGATTATACGGGAGATCTGGATGAACGGACAGCCGGACATGCCGGGCACGCGCAGCCTGAACCGCTACTATTGAATTCTCTGAAGCAATGAGACTGGGAGTTTTGAGGAAATATTCAACTATACAATTTTGGGATACAGTAAGGGACTGAATTATGAGAAAAGCAAACACTTACGAAACGTTTCGGAACATCTCTTCTGGTGGCACTGGCACTACTGGCCAAGAATTTGTGTTTTTGAAGGTGCACTCGGTATATTTTTTGTTTATGTTGCGCCGATAGTCGTGTTATACTTATACTAACACCTATACTGACACCTGGTGGCGTGGATGAAAAAGCAACGTTTTTGGTTAGGGGGTAAATTTAGTTAAATTTGGACACTTTATGCCATTGAGATGTCCTAGATTAAAATATACTAATTGACCTGAATTTACTGATGACACTTTAGAAATGCGATTTTACTCACGAGTGTGTAAGCAACTTTAACAAATCTACACTCTGTTTTGATCAATGTAAAATAAATCAGTGCTTAAGTTACTGATTTGACTTAACAACTCTTGACTTCATGATTTAAATGTTTTTTTCAAGTGCTAGTCATTTCTTTATGTGTAAAACATTTGAATGAGGTAAAATTACTGAGTGCACCTTTAATGAAAACTTGTTTTAATGAAGAATTCACCATGAAATCTAAAACAGGTGGAGGAAAAATAATATGCTTGAACTGAAATACTGTATTTCTAATTAGAATGAATTTTGTCTGAAGTTACGTTTGGTCACGTGGACATTGGACAATTCAGACACCTCATATTATTGAGATCTTATTCTTTAGTTGGCTAATATCTTTTTATTTAAGCAAAATGTCTTTCTGTTACAAATATTTTTATTATACTAAAGCTTTGTCTTTGAGTTCAGGGTTTTCAAGACCTCTGTAAAGGATTTTTACTAATTTGTCAACCAACAAAACAAAATTATGGTCTGTGCCTTCATTTTAAAAAAACAAAATCACTGTAGAAATGAAAAGGTATTTGAGGTGGAAAACCTATTCACACCTTTTCTAAAAGATCAGTTCTAGAGGGTTCTGCCAGTATGTCGATCAGAGTATCTTTTTTTAATTTTTACAGTGTATGCCTTCTTCAAGCAAGTAGTAATTATGCATGGAAGACAATCACCTCTGTTTGCACTAGATTTTTCACAGGATAGTATGAATTTTTTACAGGTCTGGTGGCACTGGCACTACTGGCCAAGAATTTGTGTTTTTGAAGGTGCACTCGGTATATTTTTTGTTTATGTTGCGCCGATAGTCGTGTTATACTTATACTAACACCTATACTGACACCTGGTGGCGTGGATGAAAAAGCAACGTTTTTGGTTAGGGGGTAAATTTAGTTAAATTTGGACACTTTATGCCATTGAGATGTCCTAGATTAAAATATACTAATTGACCTGAATTTACTGATGACACTTTAGAAATGCGATTTTACTCACGAGTGTGTAAGCAACTTTAACAAATCTACACTCTGTTTTGATCAATGTAAAATAAATCAGTGCTTAAGTTACTGATTTGACTTAACAACTCTTGACTTCATGATTTAAATGTTTTTTTTCAAGTGCTATTCATTTCTTTGTGTGTAAAACATTTGAATGAGGTAAAATTACTGAGTGCACCTTTAATGAAAACTTGTTTTAATGAAGAATTCACCATGAAATCTAAAACAGGTGGAGGAAAAATAATATGCTTGAACTGAAATACTGTATTTCTAATTAGAATGAATTTTGTCTGAAGTTACGTTTGGTCACGTGGACATTGGACAATTCAGACACCTCATATTATTGAGATCTTATTCTTTAGTTGGCTAATATCTTTTTATTTAAGCAAAATGTCTTTCTGTTACAAATATTTTTATTATACTAAAGCTTTGTCTTTGAGTTCAGGGTTTTCAAGACCTCTGTAAAGGATTTTTACTAATTTGTCAACCAACAAAACAAAATTATGGTCTGTGCCTTCATTTTAAAAAAACAAAATCACTGTAGAAATGAAAAGGTATTTGAGGTGGAAAACCTATTCACACCTTTTCTAAAAGATCAGTTCTAGAGGGTTCTGCCAGTATGTCGATCAGAGTATCTTTTTTTAATTTTTACAGTGTATGCCTTCTTCAAGCAAGTAGTAATTATGCATGGAAGACAATCACCTCTGTTTGCACTAGATTTTTCACAGGATAGTATGAATTTTTTACAGGTACAATCCATCCATGCATGAGCAGTTCAGTCCAACTTTATGGTCCAGAAATGTCAGATATATCAAATATGTCTTTGGTGGTCAACAAATGCAGCATTTTAATAATGTAACAAAGAAGCTCAAATGCTTCCACTTTCTCATTCCACACTCATTCAGTGTAAGTGTTTCAGCAATATTTTCATATGCATTTATTAGAAAATGAATATGTGAGGAATTTGCATCTGGTTGTCTTTTAACATGGTTGTTTTGAATGTGTATGAAGTAATGTGCCAAAAAGTTTGTCTGTGGATAAATCACTACATCTTTCGATAACTGAATGTATTAGTGCCCTCTGCTGATGAACAGCTATTAAACAGAATCATAAACAATTCAAAGATTTTTATTCCCATCTTAGAACATGCAGACAATTAGATGGGCAGTATAAAGAGAAAGAACAAAAAAATATTTTATAATCTTAACTGTTTAGATTACTAGGACATGTATAAATTATCATTGAATGGCAAAAGACCATGCTTTATATTAGTACAAATGAAAAAAGTGTTTGAAGATTTCTCAAAAGTGTAAATGCAGAATGTTTAGTAGTTTAAACATTTTTTTACTTATTTAATTATTTTGACAAATATAACAATTGTTATAAAATATTATGTTCCCTTTTTATATATATATATTTGATCAAATAAAATACAGATCAAATTAGTCAAAAATAAATAAATTATATATATATATATACACAGTGGGTACGGAAAGTATTCAGACCCCCTTAAATTTTTCACTCTTTGTTATATTGCAGCCATTTGCTAAAATCATTTAAGTTCATTTTTTTCCCTCATTAATCTACACACAGCACCCCATATTGACAGAAAAACACAGCATTGTTGACATTTTTGCAGATTTATTAAAAAATAAAAACTGAAATATCACATGGTCCTAAGTATTCAGACCCTTTGCTCAGTATTTAGTAGAAGCACCCTTTTGATCTAATACAGCCATGAGTCTTTTTGGGAAAGATGCAACAAGTTTGTCACACCTGGATTTGGGGATCCTCTGCCATTCCTCCTTGCAGATCCTCTCCAGGTCTGTCAGGTTGGATGGTAAACGTTAGTGGACAGCCATTTTTA